ATGTCAGGCTCCTGCTGACTGTCAGTGTAGCTGTCTGCCCATACCTCTGACACAGACAGGCAGCTACTTCAGTCCAGGAAGAATCCATGAACTACGAGGATGCTTACCAGCGCCCTCGTAGTTCATTGAGAACTACAAGCCTTCATCCACAAAGGCTGTTGGCACTTGTAGTCTATTCATTCACAGAAATCAATGAATGACATGGCCGAGTGAGCCCTGCATGGCCATGCTATTAAATTGTGACAGTGGGGAGGAGATCCCCAGCCTGCTGTCAAGGGAAGGGGGATGAAGAGCTGCAAGAGTGTTAATATATCACATTTTCCACCCTAAAAAGGGGTGGAGTGTGTAACATGTTCCCGAATATGAACTCATCCTTTAAGCTGCATGCACAGAAGCAAATTGCATTTGTGACAGAATTGTGCTATCAGTGGGAGGGTTTAAAATGTGAGCCTACTCACTGTGTACACCAGCCTTTCTCAACCTTTGTAAGGTGGAGGAACTCTTGACATAATGGCACAACATTCTGGTATCAAGGAACCCCGGATAATAATGGCTACATCTACAGATCATGGTATGTTAGTGTGATGGCTGCTGGGGAGAATGCTCCTTCCTTTTGTAGTCATTGGGAACATTCCCCTCTTACAAATAGCTAAAAAGATCATTGTTGTCCGTGGTTAATTATCTGCGACACAGAAATTTCTTATTCCTTGAGGAATCTCAGGGTGCCATGGAACCCTGGTTGAGAAAGGCTGGTGTACACACAGTAACATATGCCACAGTCCTTGTACCCAAAAAATGCTTTAGGCCAATGCACACTGGCCTAAAAAAAACACCAGTGCTCTTGGCAGAAAAAAATGACTCATTTTTAGCATTTTTTGTTCTAGCATTTAGCATCATTTACATAATTTTCCTCCAGAAAAACACGCTCATAAATGCAAAACAAGGGTTTTTTTTTCTGCCTCTAAATGCTGAGCTTAAAAAATGCCTCTAGACTACCTAATGTACATGAACACACAGGATAACATTAGGTGCTTCTACAGGGAAAATTTTAAACTCCTCTAGGAGCAGCGTTTTTCTAAGCCAGTGTGCATAGATGCACTTAATCCTTAATGTGCCCCATGCTAAATAACACACATATACAAACATCACACCATCATTCTGACATTTGAATAGAATACAATAGAAAGAATATAGCAGTTGTCTCCTGAAATTCAGATTTCAAATAGAACAGAATACAATAGAAAGAATATAGCCGCCTTCTGAAATTCAAATAGAATAGAACAAAATAGAAAGAATATAATCGTCTTCTGAAATTCAAATTTCAGATAGAATAGAACAAAATAGAAAGAATATAATCGTCTTCTGAAATTCAAATTTCAAATAGAATAGAATAAAATAGAAAGAATATACCCGTCTTCTGAAATTCAAATTTTGATTAGAATACAATAAAAAAAATATAGTAGTTGTCTTCTGAAATTCAAATCTAGAATACAATAGAGTACAATAGAAAGAATACAGCCGTCTTCCAAAATGCTAATTTCTAATAAAATAGAACATAGCCGTCATCCTAAATCCGAATTTCAAATTTCAAAATTTTAATCTATTTGAAAATAACGATCATGAAATTAATCTGAATATACAAAACAAATTCTGAAAATGAATAATTCTAATATAACGAAAAACAAAATTATTAACTTAACAAACTAATCCACAATTAAACTAGACATATTTTTCCATTGTGCTCATCTCTAGTAAAATACGGTCTTATAGTTTCCAATCATAAACTATTGATCTCATCTTTGTTTTCATTTTGTTATCTCATAATTTGATCCATCGAAATACAGCAATACAGTGCTACCGTTTAGTGCAAAACAATCAGTAATTTTCCGCCCTTGTCAATCGTCATAGGGTGATCAAATCTGATCAAATGAAGTCTAAATCGATGGATATTTGATTGTTTGCAGATTCAATTGTTTTGATCAAATCATACATTAATCAAATAATGAAATCAAAGCATTTATGGCCACTATTAGGGCGATAAACCTCTCTTTACTTCACCAAAAGTGAAAGAAAATCCCAAATTGTGGGTTGTCACCAGAACAGGAATAGAGGGGAAACCTTCCAATATCTCTGCACTAGCTCTGGTCACCCTGATGACAACAAGGAGATATTTCATCTCACTTCCTCTTTTGGATATGGAGCACTGAAGGGAAATCTCCCCAATGGATACAGATAGCCGGTTACAGATAGCCAAAAAAAGAAACCTGTCAAAGGTTATAAATCTTCCTTACTCTATATATAAATGTTTGGACTTTAGTTATATAAGGTGCTGCATGTATAGCAAAAACGTTTTCTTGATTGTATTTTAAATAGAGTAGCCAAGGATTAAAACCCGTCAGTTTATTTATAGGCGAACTTCTGTTCACTTAACCACTTCCCATGCAGCTGTTGTATATAAACGGCCAGACGGTGGGAGTGCAGGGGCAGGTGGCCGTTTATAAATGGCCTCCTTGCCCCCTGCTTGTGCGTGCTCCCTGGGAGCGCGTAGCACCGCAATCCGGTGCCCGCTGTGTCCTCCGGACACAGTGGAACATCGATCGTTGTACGGGACTTCTGTGCGAGGTCTCGATCATGTCTTCACTGATTGGCCAATTTCATTTACATAGCAAAAAAAAAAAATCCTAGTGGTAAATAAATACCACCAAAATAAAGCTTTATCTGTCTCAAAAAAATGCATATGGGTACAGTGTTGCATGACCGCGCAATAGTCATTCAAAGTGTGATAGCACTGAAAACTGAAAATTTTTCTGGACAGGAAGGGGGTAAAAGTGTCCAGACTTGAAGTGGTTAACCTCCCTGGCGGTATTCCCGAGTGTAACTCGGGGTAAAGTTTCAGCACCACAAGCGGTAACCCTGAGCTACACTCTTCTTCACTTACCTTGTCCTTCGCTCCTGCGATGTCCCTCCTGCAGTATCCCCGGCAATGTCGTCTGGTCGATGCCGGAATCCGTCTTCTGGGTTCCATTCCCTGCGACGTCGGGATGTACGGGGACGGAACAGCGGGAAATTAAAAAATGTGAAAAAGTGACATTCACTAAATACACTAAAATCACATAGTAAAACATTACTGTATCAAAGCATTTCACATACATTTTGTCCCTAGTGCTTTGTCCTGTGCCCTGCCTGTATTTTTACTGTTCTTTCTGCCTGGAAAATGAGAAACATCCATGGCGTCCAAAAAGCGTCCCTTTAGGTCAAAAGCGGTTTTAGACCAGCTAGAGAACAGCGATAGTAAATTAGAACCACTTGCAGAATTGAGCGATAATGATTGGTGGAGAAATTCTTCATCAAACAATTTTGCGACTTTGCTCAGTGATGTGCGAACTTGGCGCTATATTTCAAATTTCAGTGTTTTTAGTTTGATTATATTATTGAATTAAATTTATTATTAGTATATTATTATTTTTTTATGATTATTTATTAAATTATGATTTCGTATTTCAAATTTTAACATACCTGGGATGTTTACTAGACTCTTGTTCGGAAAGATTTCAGTGAGTTATTCCTAAAAATTACAGGCCTACAATAAAAAAAATACATATTTCCATGCAAAAAAATGTACCGCTTTGAGCACAGAAATACTGACATAATCAGACCGCTAGGGAGGCTACTAGAGGAGGGAATGGCTGAAATCCACTAACAGCTGGCCATAGACGGTTTTGTTTTTTTCTTGTTCAGACAGCGGACCTAACAGATTCCTCCATCTACACCAAGGAGATGGATGGGGGAATTCCAAGTCGGGACATTGTACTCTGATAGTGGGACTCGCTGCTGTCAGAAAACACCAATCAGTGGCTGCAGCCACTGCACAAGAAGTTTTCCAGCAGGGCTCTTTTGAGGGAGGTTGATCAAACAATTGACTTCTGTCGAGCAGGATCAGCCCCACACAGAACAGTGTGTGGCCAGCTTAAAGTGGAACTACACTGCATCTAAGCACCACAAACCAAACATTCATTTTTAATATTCAAAGCAAACTTCCCCATCCATCCATGTCTCCAAGCTTTCACTCACCACATGGACACACAGAGATAAAAAACAGGTATTTTTTCAGACTAACAAAGGGTAGAAATATGCAACAAAGTTTATTAAAATCCCTGCAATGTACATAGATCACTCAGAAGGGAGTTTTATTCTCAACAAAAGTGAAGTTACTCTTTAACCACTTGAGCGCCGGAAGCTTTTTATCAGCAGTATTACTATTGCTGAACACCGAACACAATATGGGGTATTATTTTTACTATTGCTGAACACCGAACACAATATGGGGTATTATTTTTATCAGCAGTATTACTATTGCTGAACACCGAACACAATATGGGGTATTATTTTTGCTGTGGCCAAAAAGCAGAGCATCACAGTCATGGTATGTGTACAAATCCGCTTTTGCAGCTGCAGAGGGGTGGCCTCGGAGCAGAAAAAACACAATTCAAGTGCCTATTGTTTACTACTGCTGATGTAGGCAGTTTAAGTTTATTTCTAGATTTTAACATGGAGACAAAGTTACAAAGTCTCCCTAGAATTCAAGTGGTTAACCATGAGAGTATACATACAGTGCTCAGCATAAATGAGTACACCCCTTTTCAAAAGTAAGAGTTTAATCAATATCTCAATGAACACAAGAACAATTTCCAAAATTTTGACAAAAACTGAGTTTTATAGAACATTTGTTTAGCTCATTACGTGAAAGTAAGGTTAATAATATAACATAGATTACAAAATCTTCAGTTTTACTCAAATTAGTTGATGCAAAAATGAATACACCCCACAACAAAAACTACTCCATCTAGTATTTTGTATAACTTCCATGATTTGTAAGGATAGCACCAAGTCTTCTAGGCATGGAATGAACAAGTTGGCAACATCTATCTTTTTCCATTCTTCAAGATTGACCTCTTTTAGAGCCTGGATTCTGGATGGAGAGTAATGCTCAACTTGTGCCTTCAGAATTCCCAAGAGGTGTTTCCATTGAGGTCAGATTAGGAGACATACTTGGCCACGGAATTACTTTCACCCTGTTCTTCTTCAGAAATGCCACACTGGCCTTAAATGTGTGTTTTGGATCATTGTCATGTTGGGGAAGTGCATGACGACCAAGGGCACAGAATGATGGTAGAATCTTCTCTTTCAATATAGAGCAGTATAGCTGTGAATTCATGATACCATGAATGAAATACAACTCCCTGACACCAGCAGCACTTATGCAGCCCCACATGTTTCACTATAGGCACCATGCATTTTTCTTTGTACTCCTTACCTTTGCGAAGCCATACAGTTTTGAAGCCATCAATTCCAAAAACAGTTATCCTGGTCTCATCACTCCAGAGTACAGAGTCCCAGAAGTCTTCTTTTTCAGTATGGGCTCTGGCAAATTCTAGGTGGGCTATTTTGTGCATGGGCTTCAGGAGAGGCTTCATTCGTGGAAGACACCCATGCATGCCATTCCTCTGCAGGGCACGCCATATTGTGTCGCAGGAAACAGTCACCCCAGTTTGGCTTTCTACTTCTTTAGCTAACTGCAGTGAACTTGCATGACAGTTTTCTTCAACCCTTTTCATCAGAAGACCTCCTATCGAGGTGTTAACTTCCGTGGATGGCCTGGCCGTCTCTGTGAGATGGTTGCAACTCCATCTTTGGTAAATTGTTGTATCACTTTTGCTACAGAATTCTGACTGATAAGTAAAGCTTTGCTGATATTTTTGTATCCTTCATCTTTCTTGTGTAAAGAAATGATTATCTTTCTCAGGCCTTGTGACATTTCCCTTCCATGTGGTGCCATTGCTGAAAGCATGAAATGGGAAGGGGTTTTCTTTAAGTAATGTCCTCTTACAATCAACTGTCTGCTGGACACCTGTTTAGTGAATAATTAGACTCACCTGTAGTTGAATTCTTGTTAACTAGGATTTTGTTGTCTAAAATTTAGCTTTGCTCCTAAGACTTTCATAGGGATGTATTCATTTTTGCAACATGGTCTTGCATGAATTTGTTAGGAAAAATACTTTTTTGTGTGTGCAAATTAACAAATCTTGTTTGCAATCAATGTACAGCATTTGTGGGAGTATTTTGTAGTATAGTGTCCTATAGAAAATGTTAATTCTGAAAGGAAAGGTTTTCTGACAAATCTGTTGGGGTGTACTTATGCTGAGAACTGTATATGTGGCCTCACAGAAGTGGGTCTTCTTCCGTGGAGCAGCTAATATGTGCTGCTGTGTTTGTGTGCTGAGAGTGCCCTGCGCAACGCATCCCCAGCACATGTGGGTGGTTGGATGCTTGTGCGTCACTCACCTGGGGAAGAGATTGCACCAGGATGCAGTATGGAAAGAAGGCAAGCCAGTGGAAGCAGTAAGATGCTATGGGAAACCTTGAGTCCTGCCAATCATGTGGCTGTTACTTGGCACGTACCACCTACCTAAACATTTTTACCGACCAGTTACATCCCTTCATAGAAACTGTACTCCCTGATGGCAGTGGCCTCTTTCAGTAGGATAATGCACCCTGCTACACTGCAGAAATGGTTTAAGGAACACAAGAACGAGTTCAAGGTATTGACTTGGCCTCCACAATCTCCAGATCTTAATGCAATTGAGGATCTGTGGGATGTGCTGGAAAAACAAATCCAATCCATGGAGGCCCCAACCTCACATCTTACAGGACTTCTAGGATCTGCTGCTAACGGCTGGGTGCCAGATACCACAATATAGATTCAGAGGTCCAGTAGCGTGCACACCTCAACAGGTCAAGGCTATTTTGGAGGAAAAAGGAGGACTAATCAATATTAGGTGTGTGGTCAAAAGTTATGGCTGATCAATTTCCTGTATGTGGTATTACTGTGATCATCAAGAGCAGACTCCTGGGTTGTTCTTTGGCAGTCGGTTAGGGAAGTGTTTCTCAACCTTTTTTCAGTCAAGGTACCCTTTTCCAATTCTCCATTCCAAGGCATCCCACTCTAAAATTGAACAAAACTAAACTAATAGATTTACATAAGACAGCAACATCCACACATAGGGCATCCAACATTAGATGTCAGGGGCGAACTGACAACTCATGGGACCCCTGTGTCCTTGCCCAAACTCAAAAAAGCCTATGAAAAAGGTACCAGGGCATCTCATGGGGCCCCCTACTGACCCCGGGCCCTCGGGCAATGCCCGAGTTTCCAAATGGTCAGTCCGCCCCTGGGTGATGTATTCTTCCAGAACAAATACACCTTTCACACCTGTACTTGTAGTATTGAGCTGTTTCTCTTCTCCTTCGGTTTCTCTCCCTCACTCTGCTAATGTGACCCCGGAGTTGACTGAGAGGGGCAGGGAAGGGCAAAACAAGGATGCTGTGCAGGTGCCCAATGACCTCCTTATCAACCGATGATGTCATTGGTTGTTAGGATGCTGGCGGCTGGAGGGTTGTAATGGTGCACAATGAAAACCTGTGACTTTGTGCAACTAAAAGACAGGTGTCATCCACCTACTACTGGCTTGTATGCAGTTTTTGGGCAATTTGCCAGGACACCCCAGAAAGCCCCTGGGCACCCTGGTTGACAATGTCTGGGTTAGGGAAATAAGAAATACACAGCTACATTTACAAATGATATTACCATTTACCATCAAATGAAAGCCCAAGTATTCCTGAAACAAAAACCAAGGTGTAATCCACATGGATACAGTAAGTAGTTGTAATGACATGTACAGTTGTACTAACACGTCACCATTGAAAAACTGTGTTTAGGCATCAATGTGTCACTAAAGGCAAGACTTTATTTTTAGTCTTGGACAGGGTGGAGAGGGATTAGAACCCCTGAGATTCACCTATTGGTCCTGTTTACCGTTATCATTGAAAGAAAAAGAAAACCCCTAAAGTGAGGATTGACATCAGAACATTAACAAAGTGGAAATCTTCCAATGGAGACCCTAGGTGACACCCCAGTATTCCCTCTCTTTGGAGGGATTTTCTCTCACTTCCTGTTTTGGCTAAGAGACAGCAAGTAAAGAGAAATCTCAGCAATGAGGCACAGATGGCATACAAAAACCTGACAGGGGCTATAACCCTCCTTTTGTTTCACACTATTGTGATCTGAAAGTCACATGACTTATGGTGCGACTTTGCCATTCGACTTCCTGGCAACTTGAGTACAACTTTGATGCGCGACTTTCATGCCATGTGACTTTGCATGGGTTATTTCCTATAATGTTGGATCCAAAATCACATCAATAGAGATGAGGATCCGACTTGGAGGCGACTTCCATTAACCTCCCTAACGGTATTTCCCGAGTCTAGCTCGGGGTAAAATGTCATACCAAAAGCGGTAACCCCGAGCTAGACTCGGGCTTACCATGCGGCGCTGCATAGGGAGTCCCTGCAGCACTTACCTTGTCCTTCGCTCCCGCGATGTGTCCCCTGCAGCGTCCCCGGCCATCTCCTCCGGCCGATGCCGGCATCCGGCTTCTGTGTTCCGGTTCCCGTAAAATTTAAAAAATTTCAAAAATTTTTTTTTTTTTTTTTTTTTAAATAGTAAAACATTGCTGTTTCATCCCATTTCACATACATATTGTCCCTAGTGCTTTGTCCTGTGCCCTGCCTGCATTTTTACTGTTCTTTCTGCCTGGAAACTGAGAAACGTCCATGGCGTCCAAAAAGCGTCCCTTTACGTCAAAAGCGGTTTTAGACCGGCTAGAGAACAGCGATAGTAAATCAGAACCACTTGCAGAATTGAGTGATAATGATTTGTGGGGAAATGTTCCTAAAAATTACAGCCTACAATAAAAAACTATTTCCATGCGAAAAAATGGTACCGCTTTCAGCACAAAAAATCGGAAAGAATCATACCGCTAGGGAGGTTAAAGTCTATGGGCAGATAGAAGTCGCCTTGAAGTAGTACAGGAACCTTTTCTAAAGTCGGAGCGACTTCAGTAGTGCTAATTAAGACAGCTCTCAGTGACTAACATGAGATTTCATGTCATGCAACTTTGCATGGGTTATCTTCCTGTAATGTCGGATCCAAATCACATCAATATACAGTCAGGTCCATAAATATTGGGACATCGACACAATTCTAACATTTTTGGCTCTATACACCACCACAATGGATTTGAAATGAAACGTGCAAGATGTGCTTTAACTGCAGACTGTCAGCTTTAATTTGAGGGTATATACATCCAAATCAGGTGAACGGTGTAGGAATTACAACAGTTTGCATATGTGCCTCCCACTGCAGCGACTGCAGTAAAGCTAATTAAGACAGCTCTCATTGACTAACATGGGATTTCACATGTTATGCGACTTTGCATGGGTTATCTTCCTATAATGTTGGATCCAAATCACATCAATATAGATGAGGATCCGACTTGGAGGCGACTTCCATTAAAGTCTATGGGCACAAGTCAGATAGAAGTCGCCTTGAAGTAGTACAGGAACCTTTTCTAAAGTCGGAACGACTTCAGTAGTGCTAATTAACTGCTTTCCGTCTGCCCTATATCAGATATACTGCTACAGAGTGGCATGGGTGCACAAAATCACATATATATATATATATATGTGATTTTGCATTTCCGGGTAGGGGGCGTGCGTGCCGCCATTTGAAGTCGTGGCTGTCAGTCATGTGTGCCCGGTGAATTCTGACGATCTCTGATGGGGAGAACTGTTTTGTTTACTAACAGTCCTCCTCCCTGTCAGCTTGGGCACACTGCTCTGGATGGCTGTGCACAGCACAGCCACCCAAAGTAGTGTGCTTACAGTAAAGCACACAGACACCACCCCCACAGCACACAGCGAACCCTTTGATCGCCCCTCATGTTAACCCCTTCCTGCCCAGTGCTATTGGTACAGTATCAGTGTTTTTTTTTTTAGCACTGATCACTGTATTGGTGTCACTGGGGATGTCAGTGACGCCAAGTCAGTTCCGCCCAGTGTCAGAATATCCGCCGCAATCCCATTATAAGTCACTGATCTCCGCCATTACTAGTAAGAAAAAAATAAAAAAATTCCAGTATCTATACTGTCACTTGTAATCGCTATAACTTTCAAGGAAGCCAAATAACTTACAGTTGCAAGAAAAAGTATGTGAACCCCTTGGGATTACGTGGAGTTTTGCATGAACTGGGCATAAAATGTGCTCTGAACGTCATCTAAGTCACAACAATAGAAGAACACAGTCTGCTGAACATAATACTACACAAACATTAGATGTTGCCATGGTTTAATTGCACATAACATGTAAACATTCACAGTGCAGGGAGGAAAACGTATGTGAGGCCCTAGCTTAATGACTTCTCCCAGAGCTAATTGGAGCCAGGAGTGAGCCAACCTTGACTCCAATCAGTTTGATGATATTGGATTTGTTGCTGACAGCTGTCCTGCCCTTAAAAAAACACACACCTGTTTTGGGTTTACTGGTTTCAAGAAGCACTGTCTGATGTGAACCATGCCTCGCAGAAAAGAGCTCTCAGAAGACCTACGATCAAGAATTGTTGATTGCATGAAGCTGGAAAGGGTTACAAAAGTGTCTCCAAAAGCCTTGATGTTCATGTGTCCATGGTAAGACAGACTGTCTACAAATGGAGAAAGTTTAGCACTGTTGCTACTCTCCCTAGGCGTGGTCGTCCTGTAAAAATGACTGCAAGAGCACAGCGCAGAATGCTGCATGAGGTAAAGAAGAATCCCAGAGTGTCAGCTAAAGACCTACAGAAATCTCTGGCACATGCTAACATTTTTGTTGACACATCTACAATAATGAAAACATTAAACAAGAATGGAGTACATGGGAGGACACCATGGAGGAAGCCATTGCTGTCCAAAAAGAATATTGCAGCACGTTTGAAGTTTGCAAAAGAGCACCTGGATGTTCCACAGCACTACTGGCAAAATATACTGTGGACAGATGAAACCAAGATTGAGTTGTTTTGGAAGAACACACAACACTATGTGTGGAGAAAAAAAGGCACAGCACACCAACATCAAAACCTCATCCCCACTGTAAAACATGGCGGAGGGAGCATCATGGTTTGGGGCTGCTTTGCTGCCTCAGGGCCTGGACGGATTGTTGTCATTGATGGGAAAATGAATTTCAGAGTTTATCAAGACATTTTTCAGGAAAACGTACGACCATCTGTCCGCCAACTGAAGCTCCGCAGAGGATGGGTGATGCAACAGGACAATGACCCAAAGCATACAAGTAATTCAACAAAACAATGGCTGCAACAGCACAGAATACGCCTTCTGGAGTGGCCCAGTCAGAGTCCTGACCTCAACCCGATTGAAATGCTGTGGCATGACCTTAAGAGAGCGATTCACACCAGACATCCCAAGAATATTGCTGCACTGAAACAGTTTTGTGAAGAGGAGTGGTCCAAAATGACTCCAGATCGTTGTGCAGGTCTGATCTGCAACTACAGGAAACGTTTGGTTGAGGTTATTGCTGCCAAAGGAGGGTCAACCAGTTATCAAGTCCAAAGGCTCACATACTTTTTCCTCCCTGCACTGTGAATGTTTACATGTTATGTGCAATTAAACCATGGCAACATCTAATGTTTGTGTAGTATTATGTTCAGCAGACTGTGTTCTTCTATTGTTGTGACTTAGATGACGTTCAGAGCACATGTTATGCCCAATTCATGCAAAACTCCACGTAATCCCAAGGGGTTCACATACTTTTTCTTGCAACTGTACATGTATTGGGATCATTTTAGCAAAGACATGTAGTAGAATACATTTTAGCCTAAATTTATGATGAAATTTGATTTTTTTAATTTTTTTTACAGGACATGTTTAACCACTTGCCCACCAGGCACTTATACCCTCTTCCTGTCCAGGCCAATTTTCAGCTTTCAGCGCTGTTGCACTTTGAATGACAATTGCACAGTCATGCAACACTGCACCCATATGAAATTTTTATAATTTTTTTTCACACAGATAGAACTTTCTTTTGGTGGTATTTAATCGCTGCTGGGTGTTTTATTTTTTGCGCTATAAACAAAAAAAGAGCAAAAATATTTTTCTTTCTATTATAAAATTTTGCAAACAGGTAATTTTTCTCCTTCACTGATGTGCGTTAATGAGGCTTCACTGATAGGCAGCACTGATGGGTACTGATAGGCGGCACTGATGAGGTGGCACAGATAGGCAGCACTGATGAGGCTGCACTGATATGCAACAATGATGGACACTGGCACTGACTGACGACACTGATGGGCACAGGTGAGTGGCACTGCTGAGCACTGATCATCAGTGCCCTGATGATTGGTGCGATCAGTCCTCTGAGAATTGCCGGTTATCAGCAGTACTTTCCTCACACTGTGACAGCGTGAGGAAAGTGCAGCCGATAACCGGCAACTTCATTTACCGGTGATCTGCTATATCATTGGATACGGCTGATCACGTGGTAAAAGGCAGCTGTGATTGGCCTTTTACCACATCACGTGATCAGCTGTGTCCATAAGACACAGTGATCACAGAGGGCGCGTTCTAGGAGGACGTCAAATGACGCCCTCCAAGAACTAACTGACCGCGGTGAAGCTGGCATTCGGCTATCTACATTCTGCAAGTGGTTAATAGCAAAAAGCCAAAAATATTTTTTTTTCTCAAAATTGTTGGGTTTTTTTATAGTGCAAAAAATAAAAAATACAGAGGCGATCAAAAGCACCAAAAGAAAGTTCAATTCGTGGGGAAAAAAAAAAAGGACGTAAATTTCATTTGGGTGCAGCGTTGCATGCCGTGCAATTGTCTGTTAAAGTAACACAGCACTGCAACGCAAAAGATGGCCTCTCAGGAAGGGGGGGAAATCCTCTGGAGGGCAAGTGGTTAAAGATGGCCGTCTGACTCCACACACCATGGATCCCAAGTCGCGGCAGTGTGAAGCGAGCCAAAAACGAAAAAAAAACCCCTTCTGCCTTTAGTGACGCTTAGATGAGTATGTACCGTCTGCCATGAAGGGTTAACGTACCGATCCTACTGTGGGCTACACATGAATAGCAATACTTTATTTATTTTTAAAAGAGCCAATGTGGGCCAAGCACCGGGATCCTTCTCTGTACGGACAGCGCGCCTGTCTCCGTACAGCGTGACCAAACTCGTTCCCCGGCAGCCGGAAGTGTCTTGTGCGCCGCTTTATTCCGTTCGGTCGGCCGCTTTATTTGGTTCCACATGGTGTGTCGGAGTGTGTTTTCCGGCTCGTTCCGTCTATTTTCCTGTTCCCGCCATCTCTCTGTCAGTCGTCACTTTCTCCCCTCTTCATGCCTGAAGACCCGAAGAGGCCCCGGCGGGAGGAGAGACACATGGCGCCCAAAATCGGCACCCACAACGGGACCTTCCACTGCGATGAGGCGCTGGCGTGTTACCTACTGCGGACACTGGAGTCCTACCGGGTGAGTGGCCGCCGGCTTCTGTATATAGGGGAGGGAATGGGATGCACACCAAACCGCCTGTATACACCATGACAGCCTGACCGGCTTCTGTATATTGGGGAGGGAATGGGATGCACACCACACCGCCTGTATACACCATGACAGGACAACCTGACCGGCTTCTGTATATTGGGGAGGGGGATGGGGAGCACACATGCCTGTATACACCATGACAGGACAGCCTGGCTGGCTTCTGTATATTGGGGAGGGGGGTGGGAAGCACACCACACCGCCTGTATACACCATGACAGGACAACCTGACCGGCTTCTGTATATTGGGGAGGGGGATGGGGAGCACACCACACCGCCTGTATACACCATGACAGGACAGCCTGGCTGGCTTCTGTATATTGGGGAGGGGGGGTGGGAAGCACACCACACCGCCTGTATACACCATGACAGGACAACCTGACCGGCTTCTGTATATTGGGGAGGGATGGGATGCACACCGCCTGTATACACCATGACACCATGACAGGACAGCCTGGCCATATTGGGGGAGGGGGATGGGGAGCTTCTGTATATTTGGGGAGGGGGATGGGATGCACACACACCGCCTGTATACACCACAGGACAGCCTGCCTTCTGTATAGGGGGATGGGGAGCACACCACACCGCACACCACACCCTGCCTGTATACACCATGACAGGACAGCCTGGCCAGCTTCTGTATATTGGGGAGGACAGCCTGGCCAGCTTCTGTATATTGGGGAGGGGGATGGGGGAGGGGGATGGGCACACCACACCGCCTGTATACACCACAGGACAGCCTGGCCTTCTGTATACACACCACACCGCCTGACACCATGACAGGACAGCCTGGCCAGCTTCTGTATATTGGGGAGGGGGATGGGGAGCACACCACACCGCCTGTATACACCATGACAGGACAGCCTGGCTGGCTTCTGTATATTGGGGAGGGGGGGGGGCACACCACACCGCCTGTATACACCATGACAGGACAGCCTGGGCTTCTGTATATTGGGGAGGGATGGGATGCACACCACACCGCCTGTATACACCATGGGGGACAGCCTGGGCTTCTGTATATTGGGGAGGGATGGGATGCACACCACACCGCCTGTATACACCATGACAGGACAGCCTGGCCAGCTTCTGTATATTGGGGAGGGATGGGATGCACACCACACCGCCTGTATACACCATGACAGGACAGCCTGGCCAGCTTCTGTATATTGGGGAGGGATGGGATGCACACCACACCGCCTGTATACACCATGACAGGACAGCCTGGCCAGCTTCTGTATATTGGGGAGGGATGGGATGCACACCACACCGCCTGTATACCCATGACAGGACAGCCTGGCCAGCTTCTGTATATTGGGGAGGGATGGGATGCACACACCACCGCCTGTATACCCATGACAGGACAGCCTGGCCCGCTTCTGTATATTGGGGAGGGATGGGATGCACACCGCCTGTATCACCACACCGCCTGTATACACCATGACAGGACAGCCTGGCCAGCTTCTGTATATTGGGGAGGGATGGGATGCACACCACACCGCCTGTGACAGGACAGCCTGGCCAGCTTCTGTATATTGGGGGGGGATGGAAGGTTATTACACTGCCTGTAAGACAGCTGGCCCTTCTGTATATTGGGGAGGGATGGGATGACCATGTATGACAGGACTGCCTGGCCAGCTCAGGGGGAGGGATGGGATGCACTCCTGTATACACACTGCCAGAGTGATTCCTGTAGAAAACGTTGTCCATTTACTGAGGTTCTCCTCATTGCACATTAGGGAAGGTTCCTCTTATTGCACACTTCTCAGCATTTGAAAAAACGTTGTCCATTTACTGAGTACATTAGGCTCTTGCGCATTTTTTTACTGCGGTTTTTTTTTTTTTTTTCTGAGGTAAAATGTAGCCCATTATTTACAATGTTCCTTTGCCCACAGGTGTGTTAACAAGCGCTGTGTATTCCTCTGTTAAAACAGGAACATCTGCATGTTGGTCAGTAACTTACACCACGCCTGCGCAAAAATGCGCATAAACATTATTTTCCTGAAAGTGTTACTAAACCCAGGACCCTGCATTCACTATATCTGGTCTCCCACAGTACATAGAACATGGAAATGCAATTAGTTTAGTAAATATAAACTGGCTAAATACCTTTTTCTCATCAGCCGTTAGAGCAGGCTTTTGACTTCTATCAGTGTCCAGCAGAGCACTGGTTAAAGGTTTAGGAGGAGTTTTCATTCTTCTCTGACTGTCCTATGAGGCTGCATCACCTCTGACCCTCTGTCTGGACAGTGCTGATTGGCCCTGTGCTGATCACATGCACCCGTCCAAACTTGAAAAAAACATTTCTTATTATACAGAATTTATATAGCGCCAACAGTTTGCTCAGCGCTTTACAATATAACAGGAGACAATACAGTTCAATACAAGAGGGATAGGAGGACCCTGCTCCTTGGAGCTTACAATCTAAGAACCATATGCACTAAACTGAGCATGTGCAGAGTGACTCCCAGAGCTCTGTACTATGGCAGATGGATTGGGGACAGTGGATGGGGAGGATCAGAGAAAACAGGATCAAATGGCCTTTTTTACACAATGTGGAGGATTAACTACTTTAGGTTCCACAGTGAGTATAACAAGCATGCTTTACTGCATATACAGACTGATTTTACAGTTGTGGGTTTAGTAACGCTATAAAATATATATTGTGCGTGTGAATACACACAAAACAAATGTCGGGAGTTACGGTAAAAAGCGGATGCTGAAACATCAGTATTGTGTGCAAGAGGAGGAACACTGTGCAAAGTAGACAGCCCATGGGTACCGGCATGTACCTGTCAATTATACATAGCCAGCACTGCCACCAGTGACTACACACTATTCAGGTTTGCGTGTCGCGTGGAACAGGGTGCATTTAAAGCCCAACTCCAGGAGAATAATTATAAAAAAGAATCCACCCTTGCAGTGCCCTGTCCGAATGAGCCCTTATAGTTTATACTTTTGTATGGTATGAGCAACTCAGGAGGAGCCACCACAGCAAATTCCAGATCTTCCCTCATCTGAATTTGCTAAAAATCCTATTCGTACTTGTGAAGAGTCAGAAAAGTAACAGACTGCCTTTTCAATAAGAATCAATGGGATTTTTCCACCCATGGCAGAAGAAACTAGACACTAGCAGTGGCTGTGCATCTCCCTTTGGCCCCCAAATAGTGGATCTTGAAGGAACGAGGACCAGTGAGTGTCGAGCTGGCCATACACTCAGATTTTAGCTGATGGATGCTAAGTCAATATTTAAGCAGTGTATGGCCCTGCACACCCCAGCCCAGACTGAAAAAAAAATCTGTGTATGGCCTACTTATGAGGGGGTGCAGGAGTTTACATAAAACATAAATACTAAAAAGTATAGTTGTTCTTTCCAATGGAACGAAATCTCTTCTATCCTTTACAGCCATCTTAGCCTCTGTTTGATCTGGTGCTGCACAAATGTTGATCAGCTATGACAGCGGCTGATGTCTTGACAGGTTGAGAGCACAAGCAACTGTGACAGTTATCATTTATGACATATCTCAAATCTAACTGTGTTGGTAAACTGGTAAATCATTGGATTTAGTTCTGCTCTAACAGTGAAGCAAGGGTAAGGATGACATCTCCAAAGTCTGCTCCTTCAAATACAAATCAGCTTTAGTAGTGCCTGAAGTTCAATCCTGACAGGTTCTACTTAAAGGCAACTACCTGCGGTACCTTGGATTTAAATGGCCAGTGAGACTGTAGTAAACATGTAGGGCATTTCAGTTACTGCTGAACTATGTATTTTTACCTTTTTTTAAAATGTGCTACTTTGTCACTACTTGTTTTTCTAATGAAATGAGACTCATGATGTTGGTGCATAATTACAGCAGTCGTTGTCCTGGTGCAGGAAACTGGTACCCTACTGACCCCACCTCAGCATCTGATTACATGTGGAAGATATTGTATCACCCAGTGTAAGAGCTGGGGCTCATCCTCAGTCTGTAGCAGTGCACAGGAGTAGATCATTATGTGTTTGTGTGTTAGCACGACATTGCAGATTATTATTATTATTATACAGTATTTATAAAGCGCCAATAGTTCACTCAGCGCTGTACATTACAAAGGGGGACAGAACATGTGACAGAACAATACCAATACAATGCAAAACATGAGGGGATCGAGGGCCCTGCTCTTTCGAGCTTACAATCTAGGAGATGCCACCAGTTTCAGTTTTTTGTTTTTGGCTATGGACTTTGCATAGAAGATCTGTGTGTTTTGACATTAACTTGTTGCCTGGGTTTTTGCTGTAAGGGCTCATGCACATTGGACTTTTTTCTGCTGATCCTAGGGGCGTCTGGGTTTTATTTTTTCTGCCTCTAAATATCTTGCATGTTGGCCTATGTGTCCATGCACTTATAGGCTTTTAGAGGAGTTCAGAGGCAGAAAAGAAAACCCACTGCCAGTGCGCCCAGGAGCAGTGTCATTTTGGCAGAAAAACCGCTTAATGCCTGTAAACACATCTAAACATGCGTTAACACTAGGAGTGTTTAGCTCTTGAGCGATAATGCATTTCACTTGTCCAGAATAAAATATGATTCTAAGAATTCAGCGTTTCTTTTTTGTGTTTTTTTTTCTGCCAAAACGCTGCTGCTGGGATGAAAGGCTTCTATGGGAGTTGGCAAAATGTCCTGTGTTCTTGAGGCATAAGTTTTCCCTGTTCGGAATACTGTTTGCTGAGCCCATAAGACTATCAGGTATATTAAAGTGGTTCTAAAGGCTTGGGTGTTTTTTGTTTTTTTTTTTTTTTTTTTTTTTTTTATGTTAATGCATTCCCTATATTAACCGCTTCTCTGGCGCCCTATAGCAGATATACTGCTACAGGGCGGCAGGGGTGCGCAAAATCACGTGTATATATACGTTATATTGTAAAGCGCTGAGCAAACTGTTGGAGCCAGGGGTGGACTGACAACTCATGGGGCCCCCGGGCAATAGGCGATCATGGGGCCCCTGTGTGCTTGTCCACACTCAAACCGCACCCAAAAAAGCCTATGAAAGGTACCAGGGGCATCTCATGGGACCCCCTACTGACCCCGGGCCCTCGGGCAGTGCCCGAGTTCCCAATTGGTCGGTCCGTCCCTGGTTGGCGCTATATAAATCATGTATTATAATAATAATAATATTATTATTTATTTTACCAAAGACATTTTTTTTTTTTTTACTAGCACAAAAAAAAAAAAACTGCACAGGCGATCAAATACCACCAAAAGAAAGCTCAATTTGTGGGAAAAAACAACCACGCTACTCTCAGTTAAAATAACAGTGCCGTAACACAAAAAATGGCCTGGTCAGGAAGGGGGGGTAAATCCTCAGGAGGGCAAGTGGTTAAGGTAAAAATTACTCCACTAACTCTAAACCCCCCCCCCCTTCCTGTAAACACGAACCAGCTCTGTCTCGGCTGCAGTGTTCTCTCCCCTCCTCTTCTTCTCACAGGGACTTTGGCAGCAGCAGGAGCCATTGGCTGTCGATCAGCTCCTTTTACAAGGGGCATAACTGAGTCGGGCTGTCTGTTACTATGGATGCAGGAAGCCCACCTCAGGAGTGAGACCACAGGTGAGCCCCTATAGGAAGTGGCTTCCTATGGGGACTCCCTGAAAAGAAGAGGTGCCAGAAACACTGGCGGGAACCCCAGAAGGTTTGAGGCTGCTCTGTGCAAAACTATTGCACAGAGCAGGTAAGTATAATATGCTTCTTATTGTAATAAAAAAATGTTTTGACTTTAATATTAAACACTTTAAATCAAAGTTAAGACCACAGCATATTTAGCACCCCTCTTGCTGTATCGAGAACATGTCAGGATGCACTTTCTTTCTTTTTTGTGCTTCTCTAATTTGCTTTACCAGGCACAACAATAAAATATTTACCATAAAAATGTTTGTTGCGGAGATGGCTCTGCTGCAGAAATATTTTGGATGCTACTCTGTTTTGATATTCCAGCACTCAACAAAGTGCTAGTACTTTCACACTCACGTCCTCTATAGAAACTATTGGTGTCTAGAGTAGATATTTTTACACATGGCTCCTAGGAGTGCCAAATCCAGAACATCTTGGATGGTCCCTTTTGTAACATTGGGTTTGAGGTTTTCATCTCTACAAATATCTAAAAGAACAGCATAGATTATGGGCTGACTGGAGAGCTGGACTGAGCTGTGAAAAAAAAAGAAGAAAAAAAAAAAAAAAAATTGTGCTATTAGGTTAAGGGTTCTATTGGGGTATGCGACCCTCAGTGTATGTCTTGTATATTTAAACTTTAATTATATTATTGTTTTATCCTTTTTAGGATGCAGAGATTATAAGAACAAGGGACCCCCTGCTACTGACACAATGTGATGTAGTGGTTGATGTAGGTGGAGAGTATGATCCATCTAGAAATCGTTATGACCACCATCAGAGGTAAATCAATATATTTAATCAATAACTTTTGTTTTCACTGGTCAGTATATATGGTGGTTATGGGGAAGAGCATTGTGGTTGGCTTTCTAAACCCAAGGTAAACAGATGACTAATTGAGTGCTAGGGAGTTGGAGGTTATGATCTTAACTGAATAGAGAATATGATCTATCTACAATGTCAGTAGATATTGTCAGAACATCAAAGATGGAAGATAACGTTCTAAGTGACATTATTGCAAATATTAATGAAATAGGACTGTCTAAAAAAAAATGCAGCGTAATAAACTCTTACTCAGCTGTATATGACAAAGGATATGCAGATCAACCCCTTGATCTCTCCTTGCAACCAGATATTCAAAGCTCAAAGTTTTCACTGCTCATGAACTAATTTAGAATACCGTGCACAGGATTATCCAGTAAGTTTAGAGTTCAAGAACAAGTTTCCCCTGAGTTGTCTATTTTGTTATATATCACCAGGTAAACCATTGGCTAGAAGCTGAAATCTACTCCGGGGATATTTCAAAGGATATTCCACCCACCCCCTCTGTGAGAATTGAAATGAAAATAATTTTAACCGCAGTTAAAATTATTTAAAATAAACTCCGATGCAAACCAGTGATGCACCGAGATTTTGGCCAACGAAACATATCGGCCGAAAATAGCCCTATCAGCAAAAATTAAGGCGATACAGGGGACTGTGTGTGCTGCAGATGTGAGGGGGTGGCGGAGGAGAAAGGCAGGAGAGGAGCAGTGTATAAAATGACTGACTGTCATTATATGGCAGTGCCGGTTTTTAAATCAAAATAAATTTTTAATTTTTTCCTTCACTATAGCTCAGAGAATGACCTGTCACTTTCCCCGAGTTAAAAGAAACCGTTTCTTTTTAGTTTTTTTTCCCGAGTTAAAAGAAACAACATTTTTCTCTGAGCTATAGTGAAGAGAAAAAAAAAAAGCCAGTAATTGTATTTAAAATCCAGCTAACATATAGTGACAGCCAGTGAGGGAGCCTGAGTGTATATGCTTCTCCCTCACTGTATACACTGCTCTTCTCCTGCCCCTTCCATGCACACACTGCCCCTCCCTCCTACAAAGAGGACCTGTCACTCATATGCTATCACATAGGGGACTATTGGCCCCCTATGTGATAGCAATAAAATCAGAAGTTAAAAAATAAAAATATACATGAAAGTAGAAAAAAAATAAGAAAATTGGAGCCTCCCCACTCTCATATACGCAGACGGTTCGGTTTTTGGCAACCTGCATTCTGAATTTTCGGTATCTGTTTCGGCACCTGAATTTTAATTTCGGTGCACCACTGATGCACAAATCGTTAGCTTTAAATCACTCATTTTTGTATGTGCGTCTGGCTGCTGTCCCGTCTCTCCCCCTTTTGTCCATCTCTTTTTCTGTTCCCACTATCTCCTAATTTTAATCACCCAAAAAACCTAGGTGGGCAAAGCTTATCTCACTTAATTATGACGTCATTTTATGGTGTCCATTTTCTTTAGTAAATTATTCCAATAACGTAGACGGGGCAATATAGGTTTAGAAATTATTTGGATTTTTCCTAAAAACTCCTGTGCCATGTCAAGAGTTGACCTTTAACATTCAAATTGTTACAAGGCTATAAACCTGAGAGAGAATGTATAGTAATATAAAAACCAAATTACTTAGGCAAGTATTCACCTCATACAATAATACAATTGACATTTTATTAATCAATTTAATCCTGTCAAAGGATAACACCACCATATACAAGGTACATTTTAATATGAACCCTTTACCAGATGTTGATTTTGGGGGGGCGGGGAATCATAGCTCTTTGTCCTTTGTTAAATCTGAGACATGGCTTCTCAATTAATCTTGCAAATTGGTTCTGTGATCAGTCCTTATCTTGTGACTCTCTGGTACAACCTTGCCCCCCAAATTTTACAACCTGGGAAAGTATTCTGTAAGAAACTGAGAATGTCTGATATTAGAGTCTTTGTTCAGAAACTATGAACTTAAATTCACCTTGTATACTAATAAAATATAAAGAACAAAATGGCTTTCAGTATGCCCATGTTACATTATGTAGAGATAAATGCAGTCTTTACAGTTTATTTTTTTTTAAGCACAGAATAGTTCTGACATTATTTTTGTAACATCTGTGTTTTTAAAACCGTGCAGATCTTTCTGTGAGACTATGAACAGCTTGTATCCTGACAAGCCATGGGTCACTAAGCTCAGCAGTGCCGGCCTGGTATATGCTCACTTTGGATCTCAAATCTTAGCTACACTTCTGGATACAGAAGAGGATGACCCCATTATACCTGTGTTGTATGACAAGGCAAGTAAAGTCAACTGCACATTTCAGAAAATGTAATTTATTATATACATTTTCCTATATGTTTATAATTGTTATCCATTATAAAGCACCATCATATTATGTGATTAATACATCCATTTTATATACTGTATACATAAAATTATGTTGTAGAAATTAAATATTTTTTTTACAACTAGCTAGCTTTAGGAGGAGAATGAAGTCTGTGTGAACAAACTTGTTGCCCATGATTCAGGGCAATGGATACAAAGTATAGTGGGAGATGACGTTTCCTGGAGATTTTGGCAGTGTGCTACTCAGTAGTGGTAGACAAATAGAGGATTTTAGTGTTCTCGCCATCTTCTGTAATCATTCATCTGTTTAGTGCCCATATATTATGATGCAGGAAAGCACACGGTGTACTTTGTTGAGGCATTAAAGTGGTTGTAAAGGCTCAAGGTTTTTTACATTCATGCATTCTATGCATAAAGGTAAAAAACCTTGTGTGCAGCACCCCACAATACTTTCCTGAGCCCTCTCTTGATCCAGTGATGTGTGGGAGAGCAGTGGCTCTCCCAGGATTCTCCCTCATTAGCTGAAACAGCAGCAGTAGTCATTCGCTCCTGCTGCTGTCAATCACAGCCAGTGAGGAGCCAAATTTCACTCTGTGTGAATGGACACATACAGCGACACTGTAGCAAGCCTGCTTGGGTGCCCCATAGCAAGCTGCTTGCTCTGGGGGCACTCAGCAGGAGGGAGGGGCCTGGAGAGCCAACAGGGGACCCAAGAAGAGGAGGAGGAGGATTGCTCTGTGCAAAACCTCTGCACAGAGCAGGTAAGTATGTGTTTGTTTTTTAAATGCATGGGCTCAAAATATTGCAATTCTTTGCTGTGATGTGATTGCTTTAATACATTTTTGGATGCTATTTTGAATATGGATTAGAGTATGCTGTTGATACTGTATAAGGTCTAACCTTTTTCTTAGGAGAAACTTCAGACTCTTTGCACCCAGACTTGAGCTCTTCAGTTTACGTCTTGTCTAGCTCTTTTGCTTCTATTTAGAGCCTTGGCGCTTACAGTGGTCACCACGAAGGCAGTACCATTTGCAGTTTCATTTCATACATTTTACAACACAGCACTCAATAGTTTTAAGACCAATCAGTCCAGTCCTGATTGATTTGTCTGGCACCAGAGACCACATTACAATTAATATGGTGGCTCAGGGATCTGACTTGGGTGTCAGGAAGATCCTTTCTTCTGGTCTTGTGGTAGATTCTCACATTAGAGGCCAATCTGTTGGCCCAGAAGGTGTCCTGGGCACTTTAGCAGGGTGAGGGACTAAAGTTGTCGATATAGACAAATTAGGACTTGGCTGGTTCAGCATTTATTGTCCAAATTTCGATTCATGTGTGGTCGTCCCTGTCTGCCAGAAGTCGATCTTTAAATGAAAGATCTACCAACCATTTAGGTGCTGCTCCAGCGTTTCTCTGCATCCCCAATTGAAGGACAGCTGCCTATTAAGAATACAGTCTGCAAGGACATGGTCACAATCTGAGAGTGTTTTTTTTTACCAACAGAGTCATTGACGTTTGGAATAGACTTCCAGTAAAGGTAATGAGTTGGTCAATAGTGAATTCAAATTTGCTTGAGACAGATATAGATCTATCACCAAAAAAGTAAAAAATACAATTTTTTTTTAAATATTTTCTGTTAGAGTGATGACCGAAGAAGGCCAAGTGGTCCATCAATTGTTTCCATCTGTAAAGACTGAGATTAAGCTCAGCAGTCACTTTTGCAGCAGTTGTTTTTCTTATTCTGGGTCACAATCCTGTGCAATGTCCTTTTTGTCTTTTTGGTCAGTTGACCATGTCAGCCGTGCTTATGCTTATCAAACAGTGGTTTTCCCAGAAACTGTATATGCCATCATAACCTTTTAATACTGTACCTTGTGATATGGCAAATAAATTGGCAACTTCAGTCACAGTGGCACCAACAATTTGCCCTCTTTGAAGCTCAGTAAGCTCTGACACGACTTGGAAGCAAAAGAATGTTACGTCACACTTTCAACGCGAAACAGGTCGTCACTTTCACACCTTCAAATCATGTAGTGTTTCTAATTTTTTGTCTAACTCCTGTACATAGGCACGAGGGAATGTCCTGGTTGGGTGCTGTAAACATTTTTCTGTTTTGTTTCTCAGATGTATGAAAACTTTGTTGAAGAAATTGATGCTATTGACAATGGGATATCACAGTTTGATGGGGAGCAGCGCTACAACATAAGCACTACTCTAAGTTCTCGAGTGGCACATCTCAACCCACGCTGGAATGAACTAGAACAGGACACAGAGGTAACAAGTAGTGATACTTTTTTTGTTTTTTTAATGAGGTGATGGCCGGGAACCTGTAAACCTACAAGGGCCACCAACCTCTACTGGGAATGCTCTTTTACAATTTTGGATGTTTCTAGTATGTAGCTGTTGTTCCCTCAGGGTAATGGTAGTGTAAAGGGTACTGGCCAAAGGCGTAGCCATGCACATGTGTGCACTACACATATACCTGTCTGTGCAGAAATCTGGACACTAGCAGAAGAGTAAGCATTTTTGTCTCACTGATGTTAATATCTAACTTACTGTATATATTGATTCAGCGTAAATGTTCTTTAGTTGGTGGTTGGTCCCCTGACACCTCTGTGTGGGTGAACACTATAACAAGGATACGTTTAGGTTTACTTCAAATGTACCTTGGAGTGCCAATCACAATAAATAACAATGTATCATAGTTCATACAGCGGGTAAAATAAGTATTGAACACATCACCATTTTTCTCAGTAAATAAAAGTGCTATGTCAATATGTCGGTAACAACCCACTCAATCCAAACATACAAAGAAACAAAACCAAAGAGGTTCAGAAATTAAGTTATGTGTTATAAAATGGAATGACACAGGGAAAAAATATTGAACGCGCTAACTGAAATTTATTTAATACTTTGTACAAAATCCTTAGTAATGACAGCTTCTGGGTGCCTCCTGTATTGAGAAATCAGCCTCAATCATTGGCTCCAGTGTGATTTTGGCCCATTCTTCCACACAAGCAAATCTAGGAGCACTCATTTTTTTTTTTTTTCTCTTTTCATGATATGGCTTGCAGATTGGCTTTAGAAAGGCTATGGAACTGGCTGGAACAGAGTTTGTATCTCGTCTGGACTTCTATCATCGATCCTGGCTACCAGCTCGTGCTCTGGTTGAGCAAGCCATCAGAGAGAGACTTCAGGTTTTGTATATGAACCATTTTGTAATTTGGGGGGTGGGGGGAGGGTTGTAAGGGTAATTTTACTTTTCTCTGGTCACTGCTTTTGTGTACAGGGCTTTTTTTTTCTGATTAACTGTTTACACGCCGCCGTATAGCAGATGTATTGCTACACGGCAGCACGGGTGATTACCAATGAGGAGAGAGACTGTTTTGTTTACAATTTTCCTCCCTGTCAGCTCAGGCACACTGCTCGGGATGGCTGTGCAAACCCCAGAACCCCCCCCCCCTTTCCCAGTAAAACACTCCCTGCACATAGTTAACCCTTTGATCACCCCTCACATTAACCCCTTCCTGCCCAGTGCCATTAGTACAGTGTCAGTGCTGTTTTTGTAGTGGTGTCACTGGGGATGTCAAGGATGCCAAGTTTTAGTTCCCCCCCCCCCCCCCCAGTGTCGGATTGTTTGTTTGCTAAAAGTCGCTGATCGCCACCATTACTAGAAGGGAAAAAAAATCCCAATATCTATACCGCCATTTGTAAACGCTAGAACTTTTACATAAACCAATTAATTTACATGTGTTGGTGGTTTTTTTTTTTTTTTTATTTGTTTATCTGACATTTAGCAGAATACATTTTAGCAAAATTTATGCCGAAATTTGATTTTTACATATTTGTTTTTTATTGGGTTTTTTTCTCAAAATTCTTTTTTTTTTTTTTTTTTTTTTTTTTTTGCTTATAGTGCAAACAAAAAAACAAATGCACAGGCAATCAAATACCACTGAAAGAAAGCTCAATTTGTGGGGAAAAAAAGGCCATAACTTTAATTTGGGTGCAGTGTTGTCGGTTAAAGTAATGCAGCGATGTAACACAAAAAAATGGCCTGGTCAGGAAGGGGGGTAAATCCTCAGGACGGCAAGTGGTTGAAGAAACCTATACAAACAAAAGAAAATTACCAACCTGGTGCAGTAAAACTCGGTATTCTGTAGAAAGATATACCGTATTTTTCGCTCCATAAGATGCACTTTTTTCCCCCAAAAAAAGGGGGGAAAATGTCAGTGCGTCTTATGGAGCGAATATAATGCGGCCGGTCCGGTATTTTTGCGGCCACCATATCAGAATACCGGGCCGGCCGCTCAGCTGTCCTCTCCTGCAGGGCCTTACCTGTTCCTCGCTCCAGCGCTGCACAGTCTTCCCGCGCTGGCTTCTGTGACAGCCGGGTGCCCACTGCGCATGTGCTGCGCTTTGTGAATGATCCGGTGTCTTCTGGGACACATGAAAGGTCCCAGAAGGCGCCCGGCCATTCACAAAGCGCAGCGCTTCTCGCACATGCGCAGTGGGCACCCGGCTGTCACAGAAGCCGGCCCCGGAAGAAGAGGGAAGGACAACTCCGCGGAAGTGGGAGCGGGTACCTGTCAAATTCAGGTACCCGCTCCCCCTCCCTCCCCAAAGGTCAGCAGTCTCTGGTCATTCCCTTCACTGTCTGCAGTCTCTGGTCATTCCCTGCACTGTCTGCAGTCTCTGGTCATTCCCTGCACTGTCTGCAGTCTCTGGTCATTCCCTGCACTGTCTGCAGTCTCTGGTCATTCCCTGCACTGTCTGCAGTCTCTGGTCATTCCCTGCACTGTCTGCAGTCTCTGGTCATTCCCTGCACTGTCTGCAGTCTCTGGTCATTCCCTGCACTGTCTGCAGTCTCTGGTCATTCCCTGCACTGTCTGCAGTCTCTGGTCATTCCCTGCACTGTCTGCAGTCTCTGGTCATTCCCTGCACTGTCTGCAGTCTCTGGTCATTCCCTGCACTGTCTGCAGTCTCTGGTCATTCCCTGCACTGTCCTGCAGTCCTGGTCATTCCCTGCACTGTCTGCAGTCTCTGGTCATTCCCTGCACTGTCTGCAGTCTCTGGTCATTCCCTGCACTGTCATCTCCCTGCACTGTCCCCGCAGTCTCTGGTCATCTCCCTGCACTGTCCCCGCAGTCTCTGGTCATCTCCCTGCACTGTCCCCGCAGTCTCTGGTCATCTCCCTGCACTGTCCCCGCAGTCTCTGGTCATCTCCCTGCACTGTCCCCGCAGTCTCTGGTCATCTCCCTGCACTGTCCCCGCAGTCTCTGGTCATCTCCCTGCACTGTCCCCGCAGTCTCTGGTCATCTCCCTGCACTGTCCCCGCAGTCTCTGGTCATCTCCCTGCACTGTCCCCGCAGTCTCTGGTCATCTCCCTGCACTGTCCCCGCAGTCTCTGGTCATCTCCCTGCACTGTCCCCGCAGTCTCTGGTCATCTCCCTGCACTGTCCCCGCAGTCTCTGGTCATCTCCCTGCACTGTCCCCGCAGTCTCTGGTCATCTCCCTGCACTGTCCCCGCAGTCTCTGGTCATCTCCCTGCACTGTCCCCGCAGTCTCTGGTCATCTCCCTGCACTGTCCCCGCAGTCTCTGGTCATCTCCCTGCACTGTCCCCGCAGTCTCTGGTCATCTCCCGCACTGTCCCCGCAGTCTCTGGTCATCTCCCGCACTGTCCCCGCAGTCTCTGGTCATCTCCCGCACTGTCCCCGCAGTCTCTGGTCATCTCCCGCACTGTCCCCGCAGTCTCTGGTCATCTCCCGCACTGTCCCCGCAGTCCATTGGTTCAGAATATTTTTTTTTTTCTTGTTTTTCACCTCTAAAACCTAGGTGTGTCTTATGGTCAGGTGCGTCTTATGGAGCGAAAAATACGGTACATAAAGTTCATTCACAAACACAGACGGTAAGCAGGCATATCTTCAACTAGGAGGAACGAAATCAGATTCTAGAATAAGAGCAGCACTGGCCTGCGGTGGGATTGCTGGAGACGTAACTCTTAAATGCACTTTCATAAACCCTGCTTTTTGGCATTGGTGGTGGCATTCTAGTGGTTAGGGAACTTTGCACACGTTCTCTGCTTATTTCTAGGTTCGCATGTGGCTACTTAGTAACATGTTAAGGTGGCAAGCCCAATATCCTTATCGTACAGTACAGGACACAGAGTATTCATACACTATAGGGTTAAAGGCATGTACCTTCAGGTAATTGAACACTGGCAAGGCATTAGAGGGCATGCCCCCCTGGGCACATCACCTATAACCATACCCCCACTCTGATGCCTCTTTGCACTACTGTCTGAAGGTGATGGACCTTTCTCCTCAGAGAAAATCAGCCGTGCTCTTCTTTTTTTTTTTTTTTTTTTTTTTTTTTTTTATTCTTTCATTAATCTTCAATCTCTTCAAACAAAATCTCGCTTTTTTCTAAAGCCTACATAAAAGAAGTGTATCTGGATTGATGCAACCTCTGAAAAACCTTAGTTGTACCCAGAACATTGCTATGGAACCCTGTCCCAGAAGACACCTTCAAGCTGATGCCCACTTTGATGGGCTCAGCCTGGGTTTTTATTTACAGTGCAGTGTTATGGGCAGGTCAGATAGGGTACCCCCTGTATCCCTGACCATTACTGTAAACACTGAGCTGTGTTTGAAAGTTTTACACTGGAAGGTGAATATATTCCAAACTTGGCATGAAAACTCACTGCTTACTCTCAGCTGGATGCCAAGGTGTTACATCACACCACTAGTCACACACTTTACCTCAGCATCTGGCTAGAACTCTTTTAACAACTTGACTGGAAGGGATACCCCTTCATGACAAGAGCATTTTTGCTATTCATCTAGCAAAAAAAGTAAGCATCTGTGCTACTTTAACTGGCAATTGCTCAGTCAGGCACCACTGTACCCAACATTTATTAAATTTTTTTTTCAAATCGAGATTTCTTTTGGTGCTATTTGATCACCAGTGGGTTTTTTTTTTTTTTTGCTAAACGAAAAAGTTAGACAATATGGAAAAAAACATTTATGAAGACATTTTATTCATTTTGGATGGGTTTTATAACCGAATGTAAGAAAAATTACATTCTGTTATAAAACCCATCCAAAATGAATAAAATGTCTTCATAAATTTAGGCCAAAATGCATTCTGCTACATGTCTTTGGTAAAAAAAAAAAAACCTTAAGTGTATATTAATTGGTTTTGTTGTGAATATTCTAGTTTTATACAAACTATAGTATACAGTTAGGTCCAGTATATTTGGACACAGGCACAATTTTAGTTTTTTTTCAGGTATTTACCAAAACATTCAAGCTTATATAATGGATATGGGCTGAAAGTGCACCCTCTCAGATTTAATTTGAGGGTATGTACATCAAAATTGGAGGAAGGGTTTAGGAATTACAGCTCTTAAGAGTAGCCACCCCCCCCCCCCTTTTTTTCAAGGGACCACAATTAATTGGACAATTTGAATATAATCATAAAGCAAATGTTCATTTTTAATATTTTGTTGAGAATCCTTTTACTAGCAATGATTGCCTGAAGTCTGGAACCCATGGACATTACCAAAGACTGGGTTTCCTCCTTTCTGATGCTTTGCCAGGCTCTAATTGCAGCTGTCTTCAGTTGTTCTTTGTGGGTCTTTCTCCCTTTAGTTTTGCCTTCAGCAAGTGAAATGCATGCTCAATTGGGTTGAGATCAGGTGATTGACTCTGCCATTGCACAATATTCCACCTCTTTTCCTTCAAAAGCTCCTGAGTTGTTTTTTGGATCATTGTTCATCTGTACTGTGAAGCGCCGTCCAGTCAACTTTTGCTGCATTTGGCTGAAAGGATATCTCTAAACACTGCAGAATTCATCAGGCTGCTTCTGCCTTCTCTCACATCATCAATAACCACCAATGACCCAGTGCCACTGGAAGCCATGCATGCCCATACCATCACACTGCCTCCACCATGTTTTACAGATGACGTTGTGTGCTTTGGCTCATGAGCAGTTCCAAGCCTTCTCTGCGCTTTTTTCTTCCCGTCATTCTAGTACAGATTAATCTTAGTTTCATCCGTCCAAAGAATGCTTTTCCAGAACTGGTCTGGCTTTTTTAGATGTTTTTTGGCAAAGTCTAATCTGGCTTTTCTATTCTTCAGGCTTATGAATGGTTTGCACCTTTTGGTGAACTCTCTGTATTTGCCCTCGTGAAGTCTTCTCTTGATTGTAGACTTTGACTTTGGAGAGTGTCTTTCACTTGTCTGGATGTTGTGAATGGGTTTTTCTTTACCATAGAGAGGATCCTGCAATCACACCACTGTTGTTTTCCATGGACATCCATGCCTTTATATTGCTGAGCTCACCAGTGTGTTCTTTCCTCAGAATGTACCAAACTGATTTGGCCGTTCCTAATGTTCTATGTCTCTTATAGATTTTAGTTTTTGAAGCCTTACAATGGCCTGTTTCACTTCCATGGACAGCTCCTTTTGAATGCATGATGTAGATTCACAGCAATAGATTACAAATACCACACTTAGAATCCAGACCTTTTACCTGCTTAATTGATGAAGAAATAACAAAGGAGTAGCCCACACCTGTCAATGAAACCGTTTTTGATTCAATTGTCCAAGTATTTTTGGTCCCTTGAAAAAGGGGGGATGGCTACTCTTAAGAGCCGTAATTCCTAAACTCTTCCTCCAATTTGGATGTACATACCCTCAAATTAAACCTAAGTGTGTGCACATTCATCCCATATCCACTAGATAACTATAGCTTGAATATGTTTTGGTAAATACCAGCAAAAAATCTATAATTGTGCCTGTGTCCAAATATATGTGGACCTAACTGTATATTTGAAAATTGATCAGTCCTGATGGTCTATCTCATTTCTTGAGCCCCTAATATGCCAGGACAGTACAAATGACCCCTTTTGTGGAAGTAGACCATGCAAGGTATTTAGTAAGAGGCATAGTGAGTTTTGTTGAAGTAGTTTTTTTGGAAAATGAATGAAATCCTTTCAGGACAGTTCAAACGGTTGCTGACAGCAGTCACAATGTTACAACTACTACTCTGACAGTATGTAAAAAAAAAAAAAAAAAAGTATTAAAGGGAGAAACTTTTTTTTTTTTTTTTTTTTTTTTTTTTTTTTTATTCACTTTCCAATAAATTGTGACAAAAATGACAACTTCAAACAACTCGCAATGTCTCTTACTAAATATTTTGGTCTGTGTGTTCCAAAAAGGGGTCATTTGGGGGAATATGTACTGTCCTGGCATTTTAGCACTTCTGCAAATGAAAGTCAGTTCGTCAGCACTGATCAATTTTCAAAAATAAATTAAATATATTAACACAGTGCTGAATGTCAAAAAATGCCCTGGTCATGAAGAGGGTAAAACCTTCTGGAGGTCTAGTAATTTAAAACCAGTAAGACCCTCCCTTTTTGCACACCTAACTAAATGAAAACCCCCCCCCCCCCCCCCAGTACAGAAACTACGAAGTTGCCCGCACAGTGACTAGAAAGTACTCTAACAAAATGAGAAAAAAAGTTTCCTTATTCCCATACAGCATGATTACATATATAACATATATCAGATAATAATGTTCTCATACTTAAATAATTATACCTGGGCAAACATGCGCAAGTAAAGCAATGTCCTTGAAAACAGTGTCCGATATTAATATCCACACGTGATCTTCCAGTGTAGTGATTTAAAAGTTAATAATCACAGTGACCACTATTAGCTTTTGTTCTGTTCTCATTTATGATACAGAGAAAATGCTCCCAGTCTAATGCCACTCCCTTTCAGACAACACTTGCCTTCTAGCAGTGACCTATACATTGGGTAGGTCACTTAGGCTCCACAATCTCAAAGCCACAGAAGCTGAGAGATAGTTCTAGGTTCCATCCATACACAGAGGAAAAGAAGAATCACACTTAGTATAAAATCTCACTTTTTTAAAAAAAAAATTTAAAGTAACATATGAAGAAAATTTACTTGCATGTAGTGTTTTTAAAGTGCATGAGTATAATCAGAAATCGTTCTTGTAAGCCCCAGGTATTATGTAATGGAGCTCCGCCCTACGTGTTATGTCTCTTCCGACTTTGTAACATAACACGTAGACAGGACCTCAATTACTTAATACCTTAGATTTACAGGAACTACTGAGGGGGAGGCATACAGTCACGCTGCGCCTGCTCTCTGCACACATTTCTCTATTCCTGGAACCGTGAAGTCACAGGAATAGCGAGAAATATAGGGAGCGCATTGTAGGCAGCATTGAGCAGTCGTTCATGTGTCAGTGTTTGATTTGCGGTGGAACTCCAATTGAGCAACTCTGGTTTAAAGGATGTGGCTTCATCCTTCTCTTGTAAGGCACACTGAATCAAATCTGTTGGTGCTTCTAAGCATCAGACATATGTTTCCCAGATTTGCTGCCATCAAGTCTACGTTTGAATGTTTGTTTTACCTAGTGGACAGTCAGACTTTATCTGATGCCAGTTTTTGGTGTAAGGTGTTATAGACTGTTTTGAGTGTTTTGAGTCCTTTTGTTTGCTTGGTGTTACATGGTCCTGTTAGTGTTTGCTGCTGTGTTGCCCACCCTCCATTACATTGCTTTTGGACATTCCAATGGTCTGAAACTGATCCTGTGGCCTTTTACTGTATGTTTAAGAAATTAGGATTTTTGACTTGCCTGTAAAATCTTTTTCCTGGAGTTCGTTACAGGACTCTGGTCCATCCCGTGTTCTCTGTATTTTAACTCTTACTGCTTGATGCAAAATTTAAGGTTTTCTGGGTGTGTGAAGGCTTATGCTAAGGCTAAGATTGTATGTCATTTTGAGTAACGTGAAGTAAAGGATTTTGTCAAGCCTTGAAATCCCCTTATTTTGGCGCGGGTTTGTGAGTGTAGAATTTTACTGCAGAAGGTTTGTGGGTGTTTTTGCATTTTTGTCAGTATTGGACTATGTGATGGACCGCCTGGTATCCCGCCTGGGTGCCTACATCAGTGAGCTGCCTCCTCACCGCTGGAAAACAGGAACAAGGTATTATAGCTGAGAATTGCACCCAAGCACTAGACGACTCTAGCTTAGGTGCTAACAGGAACTACTTTATTGAACAGAAATACAGATTTTTATACACTTCAAAAATAGAGGCAGTTCCCACTTGAACAATAAAAACAAATATTAAATAAATGCATAAACATCCCACATTGGTTCGGTAACTAGGTAAAGTGGACACAATACTAATCACATCATCAAGTGGATTAATAGACAGAAACAGTAGGTGACTCGGTTATCTCCGTTAACAATGGGAATGCACACCTAGGAGGCATACAATGGGAGAAGGAGACAGTAAACGCATAACACCTTAACAAACAGATCACAGCAGGAGACCCCAGCAACAGGTTACTTTGAGCAGATTATAATCATCTGCTTTGAGTCTGAGTCCAGGAGGGGGTCAAAGCAGTCATTGCAGGTTTGGGCTGTCTATACTTCAACAAAATACAGAGACCCCAAATCTGTATCCAGGTCCTCCAGTTCTTACAGTCTTTGTGTTTTGGGGAGATATACATTTGATTCTGCAGTCGAGCCCCCTCAAATGCCAGGGCCCATGGTCAATAGGCTAGCCCACAGTCTCCTCCAGAAGCCCCTGTCCCGGCTAAGTCTGTCACAGACTTTTTTTTTTTTGTCTGTCTTTCAAGAAGCTGCAAGATATCCCTGCCACCACCATTTAAGGAATTAGAATTTGCATGTTACTGATACAATTGTTTAACATTGCTCCTTTTTTTTTTTTTTTTTTTTTTAGAAATCTGTTTATTAGGATTTGCAAACTAACAAAAAACAAGTATATATCTACTCAGGGGCAGCATGGAGCAGTTGACATCTACACAACGTGTGTGGAGTATACACTGGAGCATAAAACACAATCACACGGTGGCCCAGAGTTATGTGTTCAATAGACAGTAAATACAGAATAAATTGCAGGATGGGATGTTAGTCGTTGGATGTCTACATACTCAGAGAAATGTAAAGTGCAAATACCCCTTAAAGTCTAATAAAACGTACAGAGGAAGAAGTGGCAGGTTCTGCAAGCCATTTAGATCAAACATCGTCATAATTTGCATGACAGCCCCTGTGTATATAGGTATCCTTGTAAAGGGGTAAACTAGCATTCACCAGCTTCTTCCAGAAGGTGGTAGAAGGGGGGTAGACTTTTTTCCAGTGTAAAGTAATAGTGTTTCTGGCAAGAAGAAGGCTAGCAAGGGTTCTTTCAGCTCTAGTTGGGAGTATGTTTTCAACCAAGCCTAGCAGGCAAATCATTATGTTGGGTCTCAGAGGAACAGACGTCAATTTATTACGCCACAAACCAGAAGCCAAGGGGCAATGCTAAAAGATGTGGGACAAATCCCCCGGGGAATGACCACATCTCCAACACTTTGGGGTGCAAGAAGGGTTCATTTTGTGTAATATGCCCTATGCGCCATCTTAAATTGTATGAGCTTATCCCATAGTGAGACCAGGGAACTGAAGGGAAAGTCCAAAATATCATCATCATCATCCATGTCTGGAACTACTCCCCACCACCTATCTTGAAGTTTCTTTATCACAGGCAGAGAAACTGACACAAGATGGGCATATAAGTAAGAGGTGTGTTTTTTAGAGCAGTCCATTCTAAGCATCTGTTCCAGAGTAGACTGGAGCAGGACGGGGGGTGGGGGGGCAATGCGTGTGGAAGGCATGGGAGAGCTGCATCCACCAGTAATAAAATGTGGGAGACACGCTAAAGTCTTGGGAGAGTTGGGCCAGGGATTTCAGGGTATGTTTAACATTGCTTTTAGATAGATTACCTCTTTCTCTTAAGTTTTGTTTGCAGGTGTGAAATTTCTTTTTCTACTTGGCTAACAAATAACTACTGTGTAGCTGTTCTCTTCAATCCCAGTAAAGTAGACTTTTTTTTTTTTTTTTTTTCTCCAGGTTGATAACAGTGGAGAAGTGGTCATCTTGGCGCAAGGTGGGTGTCCTTGGAAGGAACACCTTTTCCAGGTGGAGAAAGAACTAAGTCTAGAGAAACAAATAAAATATGTCATTTATCCAGATCAGAGCGGAAAGTGGAGGGTGCAGTGTGTCCCCACAGGTCCCAACACTTTCCAGAATCGGTGAGTGACAAAGCATAACTTGCTTATAATGTTGAATAGTATCCTAGAGGTGTCCAGTAACTATAATGTAATTTTTTTTTTTTTCTAAATCTGATCCTTTTTTTTTTTTTTTTTTTATTAAAAGTTGGATCCGTACACAAAGTTATTCAAGTACAAACTGCAAAGTAATATTACAATAGTATAGTAATTAATAGTACAATAGTTTACACTTTTTTTCCTATCAAAAAAACAAAAAACACTTTAAGTTGTAAACAAGCTGCCTCAGTGTATTCATTTTCAGAGATTTAAGTAGAGGCCATACGTCCTTAACCACTTCTCTCCGGCCCATGTATATAAGAAGTCGGGCAGGAGCATTTGAGGAGCGGGTGGCCGTTTATAAATTTCCTCCCTACTCCCCGCCTGTGTATGCTCTCTGGGAGCGTGCAGCACTGCGATCTGGTGCCTGCTGTGTCCTCTGTGTGAGGTCCCGATCATGTGATCACTGATTGGCCAATCAGTGATCACATGAATAGTAGAAAGCAAGATGTCACTTCCTGACATCGCTGCTTACTACTTGTACCATGTGACCTCTGTGAGCATTAACAGATTTCACAAGGCTATTCACAACAGCCTTGTACCATGTGACAAGCTGTGACCAATCACAGCTCACAGTATTTCTCAGTGGCTGAAAGAATGCAGCCAGAGAAAAGGAGAAATTATGGGTGTAAAAGCAATCGTGTTAAAAAAAAAAAAAATCCTCACCCCCCCCCCCCCCCCCCCCCCCACAAGTAGTAGTGTCACCATGGTGACACTGTACTGCTAGAGTGACAGTATGTTAAAAAAAATTAATAAACATGTCAGTTTTTGAAAAATAATTTGTTTATAAACTAATTTTGTTTTTTTTTTTTTTTTTTTTTTTTTTTTTTTTTTTACGTAAAAGATAAATGAATACATTTTGGCCAAGATGTATGAAGAAAGATTATTTATTTATTTACAAACTTTTATAAGAAAAACACTGTTTTCCAAAATTTTTGAACTTTTTCAGTTATATTGCAAAAAAATAAAAATCCCAGTGGTGAATAAATACCACCAAAATAAAGTTTTATCTGTCTCTAAAAAATTCATATGGCTACAGTGTTGCATGACCGCACAATTTTCATTCAAAGTGCGATAGCGCTGAAAACTGAAAATTGGCCTGGACAGGAAGGGAGTGAAAGTGTCCGGACTTGAAGTGATTAAGAACACCACTCGGCATACATGTTGTTCTAGTGCCTATGTAAAGGTGAATGAAGTACAAGGTAGAGATTAGGGATATTTGTGATAAGTTTTTGACTATGTTCATGCAAATCTATTCTACAGACAATACACTATAAAGTATGGGGTGGGGCAATGTCATATCAAATTAGAAGAGACTCCTCCACTTAGTGTTCTGTGATAAAAAGCTGGGTAAACTTCTGATTTGTGGGCAGAAAGATCTTAATTGCATTTTCTAGTACTGTGGACTAGAAAGTCTCTGAATTGCAGGGCACAATGGTCCACTGACTTAGGAACTATGCCTTAGAGACCCGTTGTACAAAAGGATTGATACAATGAGGATATTTGACCCTTCCTAGAGGATGAAGTCAGGGTAAGAACCACTGGCTCAATGAGTAACCAAGTATAGATTTTAGATTGTGCAGAGATGGCGTGTCTATGTTGCAGTCATTGAAAAAAGTGACTGTAAGCTATATTCAGTTTACAAAGTTCGAAAGTCTTTCAGCAATTGGCTGTGTTATAATTGTATATATTTAATACCCATCACTAACCAGACTGCAAAACCATGCAACTTCCCTAGTTCAGAATATTTGGTGTTATAAAAAAAAAATGTGAGTGAAAGGGGTGTAGCCAGAATAAAATGAAGATTCACTTTTAAACCATATTTTATCTATCTAGGGTAGGGTATTAAGCTAAAGCTCTAGATTCACCTGCCTCCAGACATTCTACCAAGTTATCATTGGAGAGGATGCTTGCTATGAGTGGATAAATGATGTTGAAAGAGACATCTTGCCAGGCAGTAAGATGTTGAAGTTGGGTGGCCACGTAGTAATAAAATGGGTTAGGGACCGCCAATCCACCAACTATAATTTAATATTGATAAAATATCAGGTCTGCACTATTGAAATACAGTAAAGCCTGATTCTGAGATTTCTTCCTGCCATAATTTCTGACTGCTGTCCCCTTGAAAGTGTTGTGTGTTTTATTATTCAGCAGGGAGAGCGGGACAAGTCATAAGTCTCATCAGGTGTGAAGCCTCAAACTCCAGCTCTGAGATCTAACCTTACTAGAATCCCTGAAAGAATAAAAAATGTTCATGTGGTCATACTCTTCAGCAACTACCAAAAAGTGCTTGGGTGTACTGGGCCTGCAGGTGGGATAGCAAAACCTGGGAAAACATGGCAAGAGGGCGGTTGCGTGTTCCAGGGGTCTATGGAAGTGTTCTGTAGGTGGCTGCTGCTGACGTAATACATACGGTAGGAGTAGTAAAAGGGTTCAAGATGACCTTTGCTGAGTGACTTAGGGATTGCTATTCACTTCCTTCTCATTTCCTGGCTGTTACACTTGCCAGTGGCCTTTAGTGCTTAGAATCACAGACCTGGAACATAAAGTTACAGTCTAACTTATGAATCAGCTATATAAATCAGACAACCATATAACTGTGCTTCATAAGTGTATATTATAAGAGCTGTTTTGTTCATAAAGAAAGCATGGGTATAAACAGACCTTTGTATCCCGCACTCGTACTTCCGGTACAACGTAATTGTGTCATAAGTCACGTGTCCCGACGCGTTTCGTCACTTCCTGGACTTTGAATGAAAAATAAAAATAAAATAAAGATCCCTTTTGATGACAATTTGAGTGTTATTACACGTTTGTGTTTGTATATTTGATTTTATTTATATATATTTGTTTGAGAAAGGGGATTATAGGGATAAAGGAATAGTTGTATTGACCACTTGCTGCCAGAATGTGAGGTATCCATAGACTGAACAATGAAACATTCCAACAATATTTCTGTAGGTCATGCCATTTAGCCTATAATTTGTGTATTGTTCTGTGATCTAAAAGTCTTATGTCATTCCCCCATAGACTTTCTCTGCCCGAAGACTGGCGTGGACTGCGAGCGGATGACCTCTCTTCAGTCAGTGGTATTCCAGGTTGTATCTTTGTTCATGCCACTGGCTTCATTGGTGGGAATGAGACACAAGGAGGAGCACTGGAGATGGCACGGAAAGCCTTGACTTCCTAGAATGGACCCCTTTGTATTTATTCAGCGCCATAGAGTACCATGCAGAAGAGAAATGGTCATAAATTGTATTTATATCATGTGACATCAGTAAATATTTTTGTAATCAACTTTGGTAAATGTTGGCTGTTCAGACTGCCATTCTCAATGTCCTTGTGTGCTCGGTTTTGCATGAAAGGGTCTCTAGGAGTGAGTGGTAGTGAATGATGGGCACTATTTTCTCTGTGGTAAAATAAAATTTAAAAAAATGGGGTGATAGGGGGCTTTTTCTTTTTAAGCCCACATATAGCATTAACAATCTGAAAACTCCAGGCTGCATTGCGTCAGTATAAAAACAGAACCGGAACGTACTGGATAGTGTAGCTAAAACCACTTTAATATTGAGAAATTAAATTACCCTTGCATATAACTGACCATATCATTGCGTATAACTAGTCCGGAATACTATGTCCCACCAACAGATGCAATTGTGCTGTTATCTGGAAGCTGACAGTGAGAGAGATGTCAGTCAAGACTTGTCTGAAGAAGGGGCATGGATCCTGTTAAGTGGAGGTACTGTATCACCCTGGACACAGATTTGGTCCTCCAGTTCGTGTTCCTTTTTGGCACATTTCTGCAGTCTCCCTGGACACTATTTTATTCATTTTTATTTTTAATCTAGTGTCCACCGCAGACTGTTCAGCTTGATTGTTGTCTCTCCAACCAACTACATCTGTTGGCAGGACATGATATTCTCAGGATGCACTGTTTAGTACACATCAAGTCATTTATCTGTAAGTGGAATTCTATTTTCTTGCTATTAAAGTGGTTTTGTCTGCACTGTCCAATGTGTGCTTTTTCCCTTTTTTATCTTTTTATGTACATTCAGTCCTTGGAGATGTATACAGAGCCAGCACGGGTTTACAGTACCTGCTTGAAACCACTGTAGAGTGATAAATTTGAAGATTTTTTTTTTTGTTCTTGTTCGAGTCAGTTAATCTAAGGCATCATCATGAAGGAGAGAAAACCATTAGCTTCCCAAGGTCAGCAGTGCTAACATAGACAAAATTATTTGAAAGCCAAAGGGTTATTTTTTGTTTATTTGTTGCATGAATATTCAGCAGGCTTTTTCTGTTGCTCTTCTAACCATCTACTCTGAAAATACCAGTGTTGCAAAGACAACTAGAGACCGTATTTGCCATAAGGCAGAATTTAGGGAAATTGCCACCATTAAGCTGGCCATAGATGGATCAAAATTATAGCTGCCATTATTGATCATTGTGTTCTGCTGGGAGAATATAATAGTGCTGCTGGAGGGATTCCCCCATCAACCCTGTTTGTTGATGGGGGAATGAAAAAATTTCCTTTCCTTCAATCCATGGCTGTAAATTAACTTGGACTCTTTCATCCAGCTTTGGTATGGAGCTTCTTTTTGCATTTCTGTAGTTTAAGCAAGGATAGCAAAAGATAGAAAGTGGAGCTGAAGCTACATTTGGGTTGGGGAGCTGCCCCCAGCCTCTCTGCTGCACTGATTCCAGGATCATCCTTTTCACAGTCTGACACTGTTGCGCGCCCCCCCCCCCCCCTTTACATCCCAGTGCACCCCCCTTACCTTGCACTGCTGCCAGAAGCTGGGTGTGGAGCATGGAAGCAGAAAGTGCAGGGTCTGGAGGAGGACTGAAGTCAGGAATGCTGAGATCAGTGGAGGAGGAGTTGAGAGGTACCTGCGGCTGCACAGAGGTGCGAGATCTATAGGAGGAGCTCTGTCCTCTGCTGCCAACTTCTCTGTGCAGCCGTGGAGAGACTCATCTGAGAAGTGCAAGATCTGGTGGAGAAGTTCTGTCCTTTCTGCTGCTGAGACTAGATGAGGTGGAGACAAGGGGGAGCCGCAGGGGAGGTGTGGAGGCCACTTGAATTGGTTTGGCCTTGTGTTTGACATGGGGTGTAAATGATATGAACAATGTAACTAGAGGAAGAAGATACAGTGCAGCTGAACGTCTGCCTGGCTTATTTTATTTTGAGCAGTGCTTAGCTGACTGCAGCTTCTGAAGACTGGTGTAGCACATTACAGTGGTTTGTTGGGTAAGCTTAGAACTAATGTGACCAGGACAGCTATTCCATCTTTCTGGCCAATATTCATTCACAGAAAAAAAAAAAAAAAGTGATTTGCTGGAGAGTGAATATATTAGGGATGCACCAAAATTCCGGTGACCAAAACATATTCGCCGAAAATAGCCATATTGACATTTTGGCGAAAGGAAAGAATTAGCCAATACAGGTGCTGATAATGAGAGATTGGCCCCAAAGAGGGGTGGGGGGAGAGGAGCAGGCTGTGTGTGTATTGCAGATGGGGGGGTGGCGGAGAAAGGAAGAGGAGGTAAGCAGTGTATACAGACCGGCTTCCTTACTGGCTACCACTAAGTGTCATTGCCGGTTTCTAAATGCAATTGCCGGCTTTTTTTTTTTTTTTATTATCTTCCTTAACTGTAGCTCCAAGAACGAGCTGTCATTCGCCCTGCCGCTAAAGTAACAAAGGGGCAGGGTCACCCAGTGAGCCCCTCCCCTTTGTTTACTTTAGCAGCGTGGCAAATGACAGCTCCTTCTCGGAGTTAAAGTGGGGGGTGAAGCCGGCAATTACATTTAAAAACAGGCAATGACATTAATGGTGGCCAGTGAGGGAGCCTGTCTGTATACTCTGCTCCCTCACTGTATACACTGCTCTTCTCATGCCCCCTACAAAGAGGACCTATCACTTATATGCCATCACATAGGGTACTATTGGTTCCCTATGTGATAGCAATAAAATAAAGAACAAATAAAACACATTAAAAGTTCAAAAATAAAATTTAAGTCTCTGCACCCCAACATACAGACATTTCAGTTTTCGGCCAAGTGCATCCTGAACTTTAAGTTTCGGCACCAGAATTTTCATTTCAGTGCACCACTAGAATTTATGTTGAGAAGTGGGGGACTGCATTTCTGTCATGGGAAAGACAAAAAACAATTAACAACTTGACTACCAGGCTTAACTATCTAGTTCTGGGTGGGTGTCATATGATGTCCTCCAGAACCATGCCTCCCACGCACCCTCTGGGGTGCACAACTGGCGAGCTCAGTGATAGCTGTGTCTGTTGGACACAGCTGGTCACATGACATGGTAAATGGCCACTCACAGCGCCCTTTTACCACAATGTATTAACGGTTGCTGGTTATCGGCTGCACTTTCCTCATGCTGAAGGAGGAATACCTTAATCGGCAAGTGTTTGAAAAAAATAAAAAATCTGAGGCAGTTCAGTGCAGCCCCCAGTTCCAACAGTGTCCATCAGTGCAGCCTCATCAGCACACATCCAGTGAAGGGGAAAAATTACCTGTTTTCTAAATTTTATAACAGAAACTAAAAAAAAAAAAAAAATTTTTTCAAACATTTTGCTTTTTTTTTTTTTTTTTTTAGCAAAAATTAAAAAAAAAAACCAGTGGTGATTAAATAACACTAAAAGCTCTATATGTCTTAAAAATAAAAAAAAGATAAAGTATGTGTGCAGTGTTGCATGACTGCAATAGCAAAAGTGTGACAGTGCTGAAAGCTGAAAATTGGCCTGGACAGGAAGGGGGTGAAAGTGCCCGGTAGGCAAGTGGTTAAATAACAACATGCTACACTTGGCTTTCTGACTTGATGGAATGCTACTTTTCTGAGCAGATCATAATCATCTGTGGGGGTGAATTTGAAGACCTTTATTATTTTCTGTGCCCCAAATACAGGGCAATTACATTTCCTTTGAAAAATATTTGTGGAGCTTTTACAAATGTCAGAAGGTATTTTAGTAAGAGGGGGAGAGTCCAATCTACCATAAGACTACTTACTGGACAAGTCTATAAAATCAACATATAAACACTGACCAAAAGCTAACCACTTGTTCACTGACCTCCAACACAACCTCAATGATGTATAGTGAGAACAGAAGCCTACTAGGGATTATACATACTTTTCTCCTCCCCAGATACAATAAATGCTCCAGAATAGGCTGTGTTTGTAACTCCCAGTACCATAGCCAACATAATCTTTGCTAAAATTTTGTCAGACCATGACCCCATTTCTAGTCAGCTCTGACTTCTGGGGGATAGACCTACACACTTCTGAATTGTTACTCATCAATTGACAATTTCTTCAATGTTAACAGTCACAATGTAAGATTTTTTATCAAATAATTTTCATTTCCCAATCCCTTGGCTCCTATTTGAACAACCCTTACTAGTTCAATAAATTGAAGGTGGCAGTACAGCTAGGTGCTCAATAATTAGACTCACAACAATAGTGAGGGATTTGTGCTTACATGAGGCAGAGCTGGGAAAATAAATTAGGGTGTTGTGATAACAACTTTCTATTTTCCTGCTTCTGTGTTATGTCAGCAATTGACTAGCTATGGTACTAGGCGGGAGAGAGAACCAACACCGCCCTAAGATTACCCAAAGGTGTAACACTGAAATGTGAATATTGGTGGAATCCCCTTGTGTGAATGTGAATCATTTGAATGCTGTATCCAACTGTACTGGAGATGTGATGTATAACACAAATATATAGTGCATAAAAGAAGGAATGTGTATCACATGTGCTAAGGTTTTTTTTTTTTTTTGTATATTGCACATAGAGTACTTTTTGTATTTTTATGGTGTGTGTGGTTTTGTTTTTTAATGCACAATATATGTGTTATATCACATTTTCAGTACACTTGGTGATTTCATTTGAGTTATATACCAGTTATTAATATTTCAGCAGCATAAGATGGATACAGCATTCTGGTGATTCACATAGGGGATTTCCACCACTATTCACATGTCAATTTAAGGGGGGCAGCGCTACACTTTTTGGTTATTTTGGTTCTGTTTGGTGTGTGAACATATTTCATTGATTAGCAGAAAGACCATTATCTATTTTGCCAAAATTTTATTTATATTCCTTATCACAACACTAGCGTGGTGATATTTGCACATACCACCAGCCCTAAGCCTGGGTTCACACTAATGTG